CACATGTCTCTCAATTGCTCACCTCATTGCCTTACACCATCCATGCTTGTGAGCAAGAGCGCATTTCAAAAATTTCAAGAAAGTTTCAGCCACATCATCAAATGATCATGGAAGTCTTCCAATCATGTCCATACCCGCGGTGTTTCTTTCAGTGGAAGTCGGTCTAGCTAGAAGGAAGAAACGGAAATATCATTGGAGATGTATCATACAAAGTTTGGAAATAGAATGTTTATGTATGCAATGTTTCGTTCAAGCTGTTTTTGTCTTATTACTAGGAGTCAGTTGAATATTCTTGTCATTGTAAACCGCAGCTAGGCGGAGATCAGCAAAGACTTTCTCAACATGCTTATCCTAATCAGCGACCTTGTTTTTGCTGAAAATTTTGAGGTCATAACACACAAAACCTATTGGAATACTACGAGGTTCTCTTGAATAAAAGGTAAATACCGGGGCTCATTAATCACCATACCTTATCTAGTCCTAAAGGTCTGCTGGATTTGGGAGCAAGATGTTGCATATTGGAATGTAGATGAGCAAGGATCTAGAACATAGTGTATTTGCTTCGCATTAAACCTCGCTTCATGTGACATTAATTGGGACATTTGATACTTACGAGAATGATCCGATACATAATATTAGTGGCGGCGCAGATTTTGCGAAAAGTCCTGTCTTGGAAATCACCACAAACCGCTTTGCTGTAGACTTTAAACGTATTCGTGGTCATGGTATTAACGGTAGTTTACATTACTGTTTCACGTGGTTTCCTCCTTCCGTACGGTTCGACCTTGGATGTACAGCTATTCCAGCAATGAGCTAGCATGTTTAAGAGCATGGTTTGGGAAAGAATATTCATTGGTAAAGCTAGTTCGATTCATCCTGCATGGGGTCTTGACTGGCTTTCTATCTTAACCTTATCATGAAAGCCTCAGTGCTATGTTTGTTGAATTTGAGGTATTGAATTAGAGAATTAGTGGTTCCAAAGCAGTCTGCATGCTGGAGAAACCGTAAGGACGGGGCTGGGAGGGCATTGAAACGTATCAACATTTCGTGTGATATAAAACATGAGACGTGATACAATCCTCCCGATATTACTAGAGGCATTTTATTCCTAGAGACTGATCATATACATCTATGCTCATGTGTAGATTTGCGCTGTTTCGAATATGTACAGACCGAGGAACAAGCGAAAAGTATCCAGGGTGACTGTTTTGGAATCCTACAGTAAGAACCGCCTTCGAGACAGTCAAGTCCAAAAATTACTTTATACGGCAACTGTCTATTTGTACGCAGGCCATGCTTCATGGATTTGAGCGTAACACTTCGGGCATGGGTGGTTTCCAGAGACGCGAAATCAGCCAGTCTTTTCCAAGTTCATGACAGCGCGAGACCATCCATTTCGTGCGCAAAATAGTGACAACTTTGATCATTGTAGTATCTATAAATTAACAAATAGCTTCCGGTTTCTTTCCGTAAATGACCATCTGCACATGTATTTAATGTGCACCTGGCACTGCATTCATCTGCATGCAGCTACACATCGAAATTACTCGATTGGGCTAGTATACGACTATGATTGATGTTTCACGGGACGCTATGCATCGTCTTCGCTCTTGGGCAGCAGTTTGCTTTCCCGTGGCTGCCTTGATCTGTTTAGCCATTGTGTTTGCTGGGTGCACTTCTCCGTCTACCCCTTTCGACCTATACTTCATGAAGGTATTTTGAATAGCACATCTGGATGACATATGTTGACTTTGTGTCCGAGGTGGATCTGCGCATGCTTGGCACTATCGCCGATTCCCCTTCCCGGCGCTCGCCCGAAACCACCAGCATAGAGCAATCAAGTATTGTTGGGGATATGAACTTGACTACTAGGAGTACGGTAGGAGGTGCCGAAAGTAATATGTCGTCAGCCGAAGCCACGGCAGTTCATCAAGTGGGAAGCAGACTTGAAGACATTTTGGACAGTCTTAGAGCTGACATGCCTGAATACTACCATGTCGGCCTCCTGGGATACTGTGAGGGGCGAGGAAATATTATTACTGCATGCTCAAGGCCAAGTACGTCCTTTGCATTCGGCTTGTCGGAAATGATCACATCTCACAGCGGATATCCGGGTGATTATCTATCCACAGGCGGGGAGTTCTATTTCAGAAGCAAGCCACATAGTTCCAGAGCCATCATATGGATTTACATCTCGGCATATGTCGCGACATTTCTCACATTGATCTCAAGCATTAAGAAGGCATTCGTTTCCCGCGGCGGTGCATTGGCAGTGATACTTTCTGTCGTAAGTTTTTGACAACATTCTTTGCACGACAATCACTGATTCAAACAGATCTCCACAATCTTACTCACTGTGCCTACAGCATGGTGCATTGCGCTGTATGATTCTTACACGCAGCACATTAATGAGGCCCTCGGTGGAATCGGTGCTCGAGCCAGTCTAGGATCTCATACTCTGGCCGCTACATGCATGGCGGTTGCATTTTCCCTCGTGTCAGTTGCGATAAACACATGGATGATGAGAGATATCATGTGAGTGAAATTCAGTGATGTGGGTCTCGGTCCGACTTTCCTGGAGATAGCAAGAACAGGATAGACGATGATATCTTTGGGTTTCGATGGCGTAGTAGTGAGCCAGAAGAACGGCTGTGTGATCCAAAGTAATCAGTGAATCGGACGCCGCTGCTCCTGGTCAAGCTAAAGATACGGATGGCCGTACTTCGAGCAAAACTCATCTTGGACAGATTGTGGCCGCTTAGAGCGGCGAGGCGTTAGAAACATCGAATTCCCCGCGCACGAACATCCCGTATTGGAAAAGAGCCATTGAAAGTTTCTTGGGGTTGTAAAAAGCTTCAAAACTCTATGGGCTTGTGTTGGTCAAAACAGATTAGCTTCGAAGCTATACAAGTAGATTATAAGTAGGTTTCAATAGGTAAAACAGTGACGAAGCTTGTTTAAGGTGTCAATTATCTCCCGTTTCTAATGTCTGGAAAAATGAATTTGTCCTGGGATTCAGTCTATTGCATTTGAGTAGTGCCATCTTTTGAATTATCTTTAATCAGTTCTAGGAGTTGCCTCGAGCTCAGTGGAGTAGCATGGTCAATGCGTGAAACGAGAACGATCGCTATATTGTCGCTAAGATTACAGAACTGGACATTCTTGGAGTGTATGTATGATCGTAGAGCCATGAAAGGGGTTGTATACACTCATTGCTTGAGAGTAGACCACGAATATAGTGATACGATCAGGTCGAACGCTCTTGAGGGAATCACGCATCTGGGGCGAAGGTAATCCTGGCCGTATAAAATCGAAATCGCCCACAGAGCTCGATATGTTGGGGGGGGGGGGGGGGCTTGGTTAGCTAATTGACAGATCAGAGTTTATCTCTTCCGATAGGAAGTGTTGAAAGTCATCTAGAAGGTCTAGATCATATGAAGATGGTGCTTAGGTATCAGTGAATTGAGATATCTGGCGTTATGTTAATTGACAAGCCCTTAGCGAGGAATGGCTAGAAGACTTACAAGAAAAAGTTCAACACGTGGACGTAGATTCTGAGGCCTCGCAATACCCTGTTCTTCTGAATTGCAAAAGATGACATATCGACAAAAACATAGACGAAGGCTATGCCTACTGGCTTATAGCCTACATATATGATGGTAACTCGTTTTCATTGAACGATTTCCCTCTAAATCTTCAAGTAAGGTAAAACCAATCCACCTTTCTCATATCATAGACAAGACAAAGAGCGCTCGTCTATTTGACATACAGATTAATGAACATACGCTGATTGTTTTGAACCAGATAATTACACATAGGCCATAGAACTGAAGAGACATTTTAATTTCACCTTGTCTTTGCCAAAATATATGTAATTCACTCGGCAATTTATATGTATTTCCGCACTTCTGACAACTGAGTCCCATAATAATGTACAGTTGACTGGAATTAATAGAAACTTTTATGGTTTGAAGATATCGAGCGGGGATTCCTAGCAGAATACGACCCAGAGTGTGTCTGGGTATTATATGTATAGCGAACATAAAATGGTGTTCATAGAGTTCTTGCTATCGATTAGTAGATCCGGCCGTCAACTTGTTGACCACAGGATTATAAGGTTCTCGGGACGTAGCGTACGGGACAATGGCGAAATACAGTTGGATAGACGAACGGATGATATCACTTACCCAGGCCTCTCGCCTTTGGCGATATACAGGATACAGCAACTATATATATACTTCTCTGTACTTGTGTGGTGTCCTACTTCCTAGAAACGAACTCGGAGCCTCGTCAAGGCCTACCGTGGTCTAATTGCCGTTCGTTTGGTTAGATTGACCTCGTGGCGTGCGACTTTTGAATTGTTGTGACGCTTCAGCAAAGTCCAGCACGGCCTCAACCATACTAGCCCGCGACACGGTGTCTGAGTTATCTCTCTCACCTTCGATTGAGCCTCCTAGCAGGCTCGACACGCTATTGAAGGCGCTCATAGTTCTATTCCCCAATGTTCGTCGAATTTCCCTCAGGTTTGGCCAGTCTACCAGTACATGGTTGACTGTTTCTTGCGCGCTGCACACGCACTGATCATTCTCGCGGAAACCGAAAGTCTTGGCATAGATGGACAGCCAATTGTTGCCCGTGTGTAGCTGTGTCAACAGGTACGCTTGGCCCCTGGGCAAATTTCCATACAGCTTCGCGGTGTAGATCGCCAGTAGCGTACTGTCAATGTTTCGCAGGTAACCGACTACAATCTTTGACAGATCTTGGGCTTTGGAGCTTCTACAATTTGCGAACCCTTTTCTTGAGGAAGATGGTCCTTTGGCGCACTTATGGGTCCAATTGCCTCATGCTGCTTGCTCCGGTCCTCTTCACCAAGTATGGGATAAAAAATCCGGCAGTCACCCAGATCAATCAGATAAATTGCTGGCTCGTTTGCCCCGACAGCAGTTGGGCTCGCAAAAAAGCCGAAAAAAGTCACTAGCCACACATGCCGACTATCCGAGATGGGAGCCAACGCCATTCATATCTCTTACTGCATCAGTAAATTATTTGCAAATACTTCTATCCAGGAGGAGGGGCCCATGGCTCCCGCGAACACTTATGGTTACAGTATCAATCCAAATGTTCGTATTGGCAACGGTCTACCGATACTCGAAATGGAATCAGAACTAAGACATTACGAAGTACAGGATCCATATGGCAGGGGGTATTCTGATAATAAAGATCAGTATCTCTGTCTTTGGGAGGTCACGTCTGACGAAGTCGTGGCACACTGGGACTGGGACGGCCTTCTCGAGGACGTTTGTTGGGACGGGGACAAAATCTTACCTGCTTTCAAAGAGCAGAACGTTCGCTTCTTAGGTAGATGTCAGACTGAGACGACTTGTCATATGTCAACGCTGCACAGTACTTTGCCCATCATTTTATCTTGGAACAAAGACGAACTATCTGCAGCAGACCTGGACCATTCTCGCAAATCAGACTCATTTTCCAATGCAAATCGGAGTTCCTCGGGCGATGAGGAGAATTGGCAGATTGGGGATGACACTTGTTGGGACACAGACTATGAAGCGGAGGAGTCCAACGCGATTGATGATGTATATAACATTCTTGAAGGTGACTTTTGAAAGCGATCCTTGCAGAACGAGGAATGCTCTCTTGATGCCAAGCCTTGCGTTCTTCTCATCTACTCTGGCCTTGAATCAAATATCATGGAGCAAGCCCGTGACTTAAACAAGAAATGTCAAAGGTTATCAGTATCACAGAGCTTAAGATTTTTTTCTTGTGTTAATCATGGGACATGAATTGTCTTCTATACAATTGAACGGATACATTTTCCTAATTAAAAAGCAATTGATCAGGTGCAGATTGCAGGGTGATCTCCCTGCTTGAAGGGCTTGCGATGTGATCAGAAGTGTTTGGACAGTAGCCATCGCCGTCTACGCGAAAGTTGTCCGGTTCAGAATTCAAATTCCCTCATGGAGTAAGAAGACACCAGAATTGTCATCCTCTTTTGATTTGATGAGGTTTGCCCGCTTATGTCTAATGTTTCTATATGTTGTTTCATACAATATTTATGTTTGATTTCAACAAAGTTTTTATCGATAGCTATGTCACAACTCGTTTGAAGCAATAATCAATCTACTTGACTATCCTGCCTTCAAACAAGCGCTGATCAATACCCAAGATCAAAGGCTCACCCTATATCCCGGCGTATTCCAACCCGACACACGGGAATACAAAAAGATGGTATACTCAACCTTTTGCCAAACATATATTGATCAGCGACTGCGTATGAAAATAATGAATCATTACTTCCAAACCGATGAGATTCTAGGGCCAAGAAATGAAAGATATTGGAACTCAGGTTCAGTCCACTTGGTCGAAGGTCTTGAGATTGAGGCCACAGATGAGCATGATTTTCTCGAAGCCAATCTCAAACCTGATTCAAGTTGGAGCCACAGAATTATTTGCAGCAGCTAGTACGACTTGCCTTACTATCGCTTTGACACAACTGAACTGCAAGGGGAACATGGTCTCCTCAATAAAGAGCATCATCCTTTCTTTACCTATCTTTTTCCTTCACTTTTTTTTCTTTCGTCGGTGAACTCTCTGTTTAAATACCAGATATTCTCAAGAGATTATCAAATCAAAAGTGGCTACGATTCCACCAAGAATTTGTTATACTCATCTGCCCACTGATTTAGCCATAATATCTACACAGAATGAGACCATATCCCGAGAAACTACGTGATACTATCATTTACATAGCCGTAAGTGATGGAGAACTGTTCTGCCCGGTGTGGTTCACGTCACCGGTGCCGCATTTCCCTGTGAGCTAGCGCCAGAGATTTTCAAGAGGATGGAACAGAAGTGAAAGACGCACTTTTAAAGTAGTGAGTGAGCGTGTTTGGGCGCAATTACAGAATCTGGCCCCCAGGTGATGATTTTTCTGTGAGGAGAACTATGGTCAGATTGAAAAGTATGTGTGCGGGGCTTTCACGCATCATATCGGCCGCTTATCCCAATCGCATTCAAACTTGGACAATAAATATACAGTAGAAATGTATTACCGTGTCATGTCGGACACATGGGGATGCATTGCCCGGTGGGAGCTTTCACGCACAGAGCTACATGTATAAGAAGAACTCATTTGATCAGATCTGGGCCATCATCCAACCCCAATCACCAGACCTGCACACCAGTCACAACTCGTGTTGGTTTAGAATGATCTTTAAATAAGACATCTCTCGAGTACAGCATGTCCCACAAAATTTTGAAAGTACTTATGCTACACGGTCAGTACATGGTGCCTCATATGGCAAGACAATATTGAGATCTCTCTAGGGCACGAACAGTCTGCTCAGATCTTCGGGCCCAAGTCTAGGTATATCAGAAAGGCATTCCAGGAGTTTGCTGTTGACAGAGATATCACGTTTGAATTCCAATATCTGTCTGGCATACTGCCGGCCAATCCTGATAGGGATGAAAAGAACGACCGTTGGGTCTGGGGATACGGTGATCCCAGCGATGGTGAGATCAAGAAGATAGAGCTCTCAATTGACCATATCCTCAGCACACTTGACCGAGATGGTCCATTTGCGGGCATCGTCGGATTTTCGTCAGGTGCTGCCATGGCAGCGATTATCGCATCTTTACTCGAAAAAAGGCATACTATACGTAAAATGCCTTGGAAGGTAAACCAATTCCGATACTTGTCACCTGATCCCAACGGAATATATTGACAACCGTCTCCTGTAGACAGACCATCCCATCTTCGAATTTTCCGTGTGTCTCAGCGGGTTCGCATTGGGACCCCTGTATCAGGAGATCTACACTCCCACGATCTTGACTCCCACTTTATTCGCTGTCGGAAGTGACGACCCCGTGGTTATACCTTCTCAGACTCGCAGCCTGGCGGACCGTTTCCAGAATGCCAGAATGTTCGAATTCTCTGGAACTCACTACATCCCACAATTCAAAGAGATCCTGCAATTCCAAAAATCGCTCGACAACTTTCTGAAAGATGTGTTAGGCGCACTGAAGGTGGACAATGATGGCATATAGCAGGGGAACACTTTGTCAACTTCCAGTTTGACTATCATTAGTATCTTGGCGGTCTCATGACAGGCGCTTGGGCTGTTATGCTGCTTGGTCATTGTGCCCGTGAAAGGAAATTGAGGGGACTCTTTTTGGCCGGCATAACGAGATGCTTCAAAGATGTATTCAAATGTGTAGGTAGCCGTGGTGCTTCTACGAGGAGCCTCAGCTATGTTGGGATGTCATTCTATTTTCGAAATTCTTCGAGGGTAATTGCACCCGTACTTTTTGCTGCTTGCAATATATCCTATTGCTATCTCATATATGATTATAGCGATTTACAGTCAAATCAATTAACTATTCCTTATTTTATTAGTCTATCCCACTAATACACGCGATATTGAACACGCTTATTCTGAAACGAAAACACAACACGAATAGTTTTGATAGCAGGGCTACTGCAAATGCAAGATCATGATACCCAGTCAAATGTCTGTTCCGAAATCACTATCTCCATTTGGCGGTGACAAACCAACAAATATGACTGCTTTGGCACAAAGCCATGGATCCTCGAGGCCAGAGAAAGCAGACAGCCCTTATAGTCCAACATTCTGCTCTTCCAAATTACTAGGTCTCTTTTGAGAGGGGCTGCCATCCCTCAATACTAATTCGTTTAGAAGTTCCCCAGGCCGATCGCGTTGATCACGGTGGGTCAAGATGGAAAATTGCGGCGTCGGCCTCGCCAGTTGGCGAGATCGTAGCCAGATGGCGGCAGCATAGCAAACAATTTGTGAAATTGCCAATGCTAGAGCAGTCAGTAGAATCACATCTCTGGTGATCCCGTAGGCAAGATGTATCACAATGTTCATCAATCCAAACACACTCGCCGTCACGCAAAGCCTCATAGCGAGTCAACCAATCAGAGCCGTCTGTTCGGAATGTAGACCTTACCTGTTTCCCATGAGTGACAGCCGTGTCCGAAGGCCTTTGAAGAGGAGCAGAAATAAAGGTATAAAGCCACACGCGGCAAGGGCAAACGCAGCCCCAACGCTCGCATTCTCCCTGCCCATTTCCCGAGTCAGAGGTCTTTGTACCGCAGGTGGGAAAACCAAAAAGCTGTAGCACAATTAGCAGTGTTCATGAGCGGACGTTGAGGTTGGACAAGCCTGGTCATTATCATCCCTGGTGGAAGCAGGTTAATCATGATCCATAACCATCGGCTGCATATCCTCCGCATTTGGTCTTCCTGTTCTATATGCCTGACCATTTTATCAGAGTCCTCACTGCCGTACCACGATGTCATCTCAACTACAGCCAGATGTAATCAGGGTGTGTGTATTTGCTCTGTGGATAGAGGGGAAATGCGCTTTCTATAGTGAACACACCCAGAGATGGCTTGCTCATCTCCGAAGCTATCGGTCAGCCTATCATCTTGACGACTGACCCATTTAGCTCCCTACATAGCCTTAGCGTGCTTGACAGATTCTGAAATTATATTTAAGCCATATATTTCTACATTCCTGCGTCCGTGCAACTTTGAGCGAATGAGACTTGAATCCCCGTTTGGATTATCTCACCCGTGGTCCCTTATTCCACATACAGTATTTCAGTGAAAAGGCTAAATCAGTGCGTTATGGCTGAACAAACTGCCTTGGCATTGCAAAATGAACCTCACACATTGGCGGGTCAATCCTATATCATATCAGATATACAAACTTTAGGTCAACCGATCATATGCTTATATCCTCTTTTTTCTCCTTGGCCCTCGCTCGAGAACAAGTGAGATGAGACTGATGTCAAGACCCGACCCTCGCATGATCTACTCCATTGTGAGCGGTTAATCTATCGACCTCGAGCTTTATTATATTTGTTCACTTGTGTCGCTTTACGCACTATATAGCTTTTCTACGGCTCTTCTAGAATAATCTTCCGTTACCACTTACGGCATTATTTCTACTGAGTCTGCATAGAGAGCCCTTCAACAAAGCCCCGGCATCTTGGAAGTTAATTCGCCGTACAGACTACCCGCACTGTACAGTGAGCTCGATCCCTATCCGGAGTGATGGTCTACGTTAGAGGCTGATCAACAGCAAGTTCTTCTCTTTGGAATCGAACTCATGAAGGATTCCCTTCAGTTTGGTAATGATGTCAAAATAATACACAGCCTGATTGGTTAGCCTTTCTAAGCATCCTCGCCCCTAAGGTTAGCCAAATTCAGCGGAGTTTGTCCGGTCTGAACTTATGAGTATAAGTCAGTTTCCGCTGAGTGGAAAAATTCCTAGAAACATTCAACCGACTTTCGACTTTCTGAAGCCCGACCATGAATGCAAGAGAGAAAGGATGGATCTTCACATGGTCAGCTAAACTAGAAACAAAATAAAGTTCCTGGCGCATGCAATACTGAAGCAAATGCAAATTGAGATAGGTTGTATAAGGCTTACCCTAGTTGGTAATGCAATTGGAGATGATCCAGCTGTGATAAAAAAGAACTGTAACTATCCAAGAATATAGTTCTTTCTGCTACAAGGGTGGTATGAGACTATGCCAGGTGTATTATTAGCTATAAGTAACTCGAAGTTAACAGGCC